TTCAAGCACATCAAGAACTGCTGGGCCAACGCGCTTATGTTGGTATGCATCTTGAGTCCAAGGTTAAGAAGTAGTGATTTAAAAAAAAAAAAAGACTCAACGGGAAAAAGAATAAATGAAGACTTGACTTCACAATACAAATTACCCTTGGCCTACCTTAAAAAGTTCCCTTCCAAGTGCTGACAGCTTCTGGCCAGACACTTTTGTTTGAGGAACCAATACTATGGACTTGTTAGGGATGCTACTCCTAGATCTGGCTTCCTTTTCTTTTTTGAGATATAGTTCTACATTTGGGTGAACAGTACCACTGTTCTGTTCTGGCTTTTTACATGTCTGCATTTGTTAAGACTCCTTTGGTTGCAGATAACAGAATTTGGCTGTCACTAAGTTAGGTCAAAAATGAGAACTTGCTGGAAGGGTACTGAGACGCCACCCACAGTGCTCCTTGCCAGGAGCAGCTGGCAAACAGGACACAGGAAATGGACTCTGTCCTTTGCCTCTGGTTCTCCGCACATCTAATTCTTTGTTTCTTTCTCATGGCAAACGTGTTTACTGCTCATTAGTCCGCAAGGTGGAACATGGCCACCAACAGATCACGACTCACCTGTGTTCAGCTTCCAGCTGCTGGAGAAAAACTCCTTTTCCTTCTGCCTAGGTCCAAATGTCTAGTCTGATGCTTTCACGTCAGAGCCCCACTCTTACATTTGGGTGAACAGTACCACTGTTCTGTTCTGGCTTTTTACATGTCTGCATTTGTTAAGACTCCTTTGGTTGCAGATAACAGAATTTGGCTGTCACTAAGTTAGGTCAAAAATGAGAACTTGCTGGAAGGGTACTGAGATGCCACCCGCAGTGCTCCTTGCCAGGAGCAGCTGGCAAACAGGACACAGGAAATGAACTCTGTCCTTTGCCTCTGGTTCTCCGCACATCTAATTCTTTGTTTCTTTCTCATGGCAAACGTGTTTACTGCTCATTAGTCCGCAAGGTGGAACATGGCCACCAACAGATCACGACTCACCTGTGTTCAGCTTCCAGCTGCTGGAGAAAAACTCCTTTTCCTTCTGCCTAGGTCCAAATGTCTAGTCTGATGCTTTCACGTCAGAGCCCCACTCGTGAGCCAGTCAACTGTGGCCTGCAGGGCTGACTATGTAATTTGTCCAACCTGATGCCAAGTGGAAAAAAGCAAAGGAAAGTGCCATTAACAGTACATAGAAAGGCTCTTCCTTTCTTCTCCCATCTCTCAAATTATCACAGTGTTTTTTATTTTCTATTTAACACCAGTCTAAGTAAAGAAAACTCTAAATTTTAAATTATCAGTGTGAATTTTACCACTCATCTCTGGATCATGCAATGCCACTTTTAAATGGTAATATCAGAGCATTTAATTCACATGCAGAACCACTGAAATTACATAACTAGTATTTTGTGACTCATGGGCCAGAAGAAATAAGGATAAACCAAACTCAAGATTGGAAGGAAGATGAGGGGGTGCACCAGGTTCCCCCAGAGTGTGGGGGCACAGGATGAGCTGGGAGAGTCAAGGGCCTGGGACCTCTGCCCCCCTTCCAGCCACCAAGCCCACCTACATATGGTGCCCCTAGACGCCAAGGCAGGGTCTAGGGAAGATGAGCCAGGTGTCCCCTCTCCCCAGATCCAGTCCCCAAACCCACAATAGGCTGTGACTCTCCAAAGATCTTTAAACTTCTGTGCCAGGAAACATGCAGTGTGAGACCAGGAGTGGGCAGAGCTTGCCCAGGCCAACACACAGCCACAGTGCTGCCTGCCCAGGGCAGGGACGGCCAACACCATGCCCACTCCAAGATGCTTCAGGGTGAATGCGTCCCGTGCCTACCTTCTCCACACCTGAGCCTAGGCCCCTGAGGAATGGAGGGCAATGGTGGTCAAAGGGAAAGCAGAGAGGGGTGGCCAGGCTGGGCCCAGAGCACCAGGGGCAGGAGAGCAGGCAGCTGAGAATCCGCCCTGGGGAAGAAGCCAAGGTGGCAGCCCTCACGGGTGAGGCTCCAAGCCCCAGTGCACACCCCAGTGTCCCCTCAGACTCTGCTTCCTAAACACAGATTCAAAGATATGACGATTAAGAATCTCCACAGGGGACTCCGCTGGCAGTCCAGGGTTAAGACTTCACCCTCCAACGCAGGGGGTGTGGGTTCCATCCCTGGTCTGGAAGCTAAGATCCCACATGCCTCAAGAGCTCCCGGGAGGGAGGTGGAAGCGTGGGGTCAGGAGATAACCTTCTAAAGAAACAGTTCCCAGAAATGAAGACGGAGAATGTTGGGAAAGCCAACTGTTTTCATTTCGGCCTTTCAAATTTGTAAACATTAGGCTGCACGTGAGCAACTTGACTTTGTGTGTGTGCGTGTTAGTCACTCAGTCGTGTCCAACTCTTTGTGATCCTGTGGACTGCAGCCTGCCAGGCTCCTCTGTCCATGGAATTCACCAGGCAAGATTAGTGGAGTGGGTGCTATTCTCTTCTCCAGGGGATCTTCCCCACCCAGGGATCCAACTCAGGTCCCCCTTGTTGCAGACAGATCCTTTACCATCTCAGCCACCAGAGGCATTTCTCACTCAGCAGTATTTTATGCACCAATGGCTACATTATATTGAATGTTATACTCTAACAGATTAGCTAAGGTATTTACCATGGACTTCAGAACTCCACGCGTTCTGGCCCATCACTCTCCCCGCTGCCTGTCTGCCCCTCACACACTAAGCACCTCCCACCCGGACCTGTGCATCTGCTCCTGCCAGCGTGGTCCCCTCGCCCATGGGGACAGCCTATTGGCCCTATCTTAGAGTTTCAGTTCTGTCCTGGTGTGTGATGCTGCCCAAGGATAGGCGTTTCTAAGGCAACCCTGATGTTGCTGATCCAGGGAGTTCTATCTTACAGTCGTTGGTTTAGATCCCATGCAAGGTGGCTGCAGGCTTGTGAGCAGCTCCCAGGGGTAGATGGGGCCTGCAGAACGGACTTGCCCCAAGTGCTGCCCCCTGCTGTCCTTAGAGGAGAAGACAGAAGCAAGCCGACCTCCCAAATTGAAGACTTCTCTTTGAACATCACTAACTGATTTATGACTTCCCAGGTGGCACTAGTGGTAAAGAACCCACCTGCCAATGCAGGAGGCATGGGATATGTGGGTTTGATCCCTGTGTCAGGAAGATCCCCTGGAGGAGGAAATGGTAACACACTCCAGTATTCCCATGGATAGAGGAGTCTGATGAGATACAGTCCATGGGGTCACAAAGAGTCTGACACAGAGTCGGACACAACTTAGCTACTAAGCATTCCCACAACTGATTTAAAAAGATGAAACTGTCATCAAGCAGGTAACTTCACTCAAGTGCTGAAGGGAGTGGAGAGACAGGACGGGAGAAATGGGAGGGGAAAATATCCTTCAATCAGCAGAGCAGCTAATAAACTTCTATAACCCTGCACTAACTCATCCCACCCACTGGGGTGCCCACACCTAGCCTCTCGACATCCCACCAATTCACTATCACCCCTTCCTCGTATCATGGGGTGACGGCAGAGAGTGACAGTGTCACCCCATGGAAGTCACCCGGGGGTGTTAGGGCTCCCCAACACTGGGTGCTGGACTTGTGCTTCTCCACACCTTTGCCCTGATCAATATTTTCCAGCTTTTTCTAATCTGATGAATGAAAACCGAATCTCATGCTATCAGTTTGTATTTTTCATCAAGGGAACTCATACTTGTTGCCTCTTCATTTCTCTTGACCACTTTTCTGAAGAGTTTCCTTTCTTACTGATTTACTGTAGCTCTTGGAGTTTTGGGGCTTTCCGCATAGCTCAGTTGGTAAAGAATCTGCCTGCAATGCTGGAGACCTGGGTTTGATTCCTGGGATGGGAAGATTGCCTGGAGAAGGAAATGGCAACCCACTCCCGTATTCTGGCTTGGAAAATCCCAAGAACAGAGGAGCCTGGCAGGCTACATACAGTCCATAGGTCACAAGTCGGACATGACTTAGCACTATCTTTCTTTCTTTTCCAGTTTTTGTTACCACTGATCCTTTCTAGATGCAGCAGTTGTTTTTGTTTTGCTATTTTACAGTTGTCTTTTAACTTTATGATGTGCACATTACTACCCTGTGGCAACCTCCCTGATATTTGCTAGAGGATAAGTGTCAACAAAAATAATAAACAATCACTAATAAGAATAGAAAAGAGTTTTATTTGAGCCAAACTAGTCCAGAAGCCCGCTTCCCAGGTTACTCTGAGAAATTGCTCTGGAGAAGCAGGGTTTTCAGCCCAGTTTTATATCTCATCAGAACAAAGAACATTAAACAAGTCAGGGTTACATTTCTTCAAGGTTTCAAAAAAAAAAGACAAGCTCATACATAGCAAGTCAACATGGCCTTGGCACCTGGGAAGGGAGTCTTATCATCAAAGGAGAACCAGCATTGGCTTCCCAGGAAGATAGGCATTTAGTCTTTATTTTTAACACAGACAGTCTTTACTCCTGGTCAATGTGCTGGTTTCTTTAATAATTGAAGCAGTTGTACAGTGTATGTTTGACAGGCCACAAAGGGGCTACTTTAGTTAGCATAAAATTCAACTGAACTCATGTATAAGCCAGAATGACTTCTCTATATCTTGATATGAAAAAATTTCTTTTATCATAAGGGAGTGTGTACAATACATAGCCTGCCACACCATCCGTTCTCAATAATCGCTAGCAGGGCAGCTGTCGCCGTTGTTTTATCACAAACGTCTGACACCCAGAGGCCCTGCAGTCCCAGGCCTGCTGGTCTTCAGTAACGCACAGCACCGTGAAACCAGAGTAATAGAATATGTAGACTGTTCTGCGGAGTGCTAATCTAATGCCATTTGGATGGGATCATGTTTCATCTTGTGGGGTTTCCATGTAAGCGCTTGTGAGCACTGAAGCTCTAAAGTTAGTGGGAAAGACTGGAAGCTGTGGGACTCGATCTAACTCGGCGTTCCTCCTCTGTCACCGCCCCTCCATCAGCCGGCCCCTGGGTACCGCAGCCTCCAGGAAGGCCTGCCCTACTTGGACATGGTGATTAAAGAGACCTTGAGGATGTACCCGCCAGCTTTCAGGTAAGCCTGCACCCTAGGTCTTCAGGCTGTCACCACCTGCATTGTGAAGAATGCTGGACCCAAGCTCCTGGAGGGGAAGGTCTGAGTATTGGGGGTTATCTCTGGGGGGCGCAGGACACCATGCCTGACATACGGTCACTATGGCAATAAATGTCTGCCCTGTATTCCTGTATGTTAACCATCTTTTCAAAGTGTCATTGCTGTTTTCTTAACATGACCTTCCTCCCCAACCCAAGCCAATCTCTTTGGCCTCCTAGCCTCAGATGACTTTTGTTCTTTCCCCAGCCTGTTCATTCATACATTCACCGGCTACTTATTAAGCATCTACTTTATGCCACACTCTGAGAAATCAGCCAAAAGAGATAAAGCATATGCCTTTGGAGTTGACAGTCCAGAGGGGAGCATCCAAGGCCTGGGATGCTCCTTCATTCTCTCCAATGATCCGCACCCCGCCCCATCCTCAGAGCTCCCACCCAGGACTTAGCGCTTCAGGAAGTCTGACTCAGCCAGCCTCACCTGTTCCCCACTGGCTCTCTCCCCCCACAGCACTCTGCACACTGACTGTACTTCATATTATATTTTTGGACACTTTCCAACTGCTCTGCAACATTTCACCAACGTGCATCCAGCCACACCAACCTGTAAATGCCTTGAGAGCAGGACTCGGGTCTTCTGCTTCTTTCAAGTTCCCCCTAAATGAGATGTTACCAAATTCCAGGCTCATTCACCCCAAGCACAGTAAGCCAAGCGCTGAGATGCTGAGGTTTGCAGCAGAGAACAGACATGTTCACACGGCAGCCAAGCGTGGAGTCAGAACAAATCTCCAAGCTGCCTCCCCCACGGCAAGTGGCCCAGGTATTCATGGGATAAAGCAGCAGCTGAGGAGTGTGGGGAAAGGTAATGATTGGAGATGACAAAAAGGTGAAGCAATTGTAGTTCTAAGCAGGTGCAAGGAAGCTATAGGGGTCTCCATGGGAAGCAAGTTCAGAGTATGGCAGCCTTAGTGTCAAAACAGAAGAGAGCTTTGAGCCCTCTGAGGTCAAAAGGTCAGCGAGAAGCCGCTTGCGCATGCCCAGTTGGAGTGTCAGCGATGTTAACCAGTCTTAACCTGCTCAAGCTCCAACTAGACACAGCTGTCTTCAAGTTCCTGAAAAAAAACAACTTGGGCAAACATCTTAGGTTGAAGCGGCCTAGCCCTTACAGTACGTGCAGGTTGTTGTGTAGCAACAATTAAAGTGAGCTTGCTTCATCAATGAAGGCAAGCTGAATGGATCTAACTGAGGACTACCCTGGGTTTCAGAGGCGGCCCAAGGAGCACAGGGTCTTAACTTGGGTCTCCAGACCCTCAGAGAGTGAAACATTGCTAGAGCTCAGACTCTAGGAACAGAGGCAACCCAAAGCATGTAACTTATAAATTCTACTCTACATCTCTAGGAAGCATTGTACCACATAAACCATATGGAGGTAACTTTTGCCATTTTAAAAAGAGAAAATGTGGATGATGTGAAGGTATCTCAAAATTATATTCCAAACCAAAAATATCCTAGAGAGTGTGATTGTAGATACTGTCCAAAACGTTCAGATCCAGAGCCAAGAGAGAATTCCCAGGGTGTGAGTCAAATCACATCCTTCTCAAGCACACACGGTTTCAGTCTCCTGGTCCAGGAGCAGACAGGAACGCCAGGGCTCGCCTCGTTGCTCTCCTGACACTAGTATTAAGACCTGATCCTGGGACTTCCCTGTGGTCCAATGGTTAAGACTCTGCGATTCCACTGCAGGGGGCAAGCGTTCGAGCGCTTGTTGGGAAGCTAACATTCTGCATGCTGCGTGGCCAAAAAAATAAAAGACCCAATTTCACAGGCCTTACCTGACTTCCTTGGGAGCCTCAGAGCAAACTGTCATCTGGTCTATTTTTTGTTTTTGTTTTCATTTTTTAATGATTTATACCAACTTCCTTCCAAGGGAACTGTGGGCAGCTGCTATACACATGAAATTCAAAATAAGACATTCAGTGATATAACAGATCAAAGACTGTTCAGAGGAAAGAATCCATGATGGGACCCCAGAGATGGTGACAACTGGGGTCAGGCTTGGTGGCTGAGGCTCCCAGGAGAGAGGAAAGCTGGTTGAGTTGAACCATCCTGTTCTCTATTGGGAGGAAAGTGTAGACTGATCAAAGACACATCATTTCCTGGATCTAAAGTCAATCAAGCATTCATCACATGAGACCTTGCATAGATGACATGTTGAGCAACAAAGTCCACAGTCTCTTCAGCACTAAAATTCTTCAGGCAATTCTCCTCCTGATCCTTTATAAGCAGCAAAGTGTAAAAGGAAGTCAGTGAAGGCATTGTTCTGGGGAACCAGGATGCTGCGATCTCACCTGAGGGCAGGACAGAACCGAGTATCTAGATGGATTTGTTAAAATTCCCACTATATAAAAAAAATAGATCCAGGCTTCCCTAATGACAGAGCCAGTCTGGACGGAAAGTCAAGACAGTCTCAGTCCTGCCATTAGTTTATTGTGTGATCCTGGGTAAGTTCCGGGCTGTTCTGGGCTTCTGTTTCCTGTGCCTTTAGAGGGTACACAACACCTGCTCTGCCTACTCTGGAAGTGTTAGGAGGATCAGTGAGACAGCAGCCGTGGAAACACGGTATCCCACAGGCAGCGTGTCGTGCGAGGTATGAAGTAAAGAGCAAGAAGCGTTTGAGTTGAACGGCCTGCACCCAGTCTGGTCCCAGTCTCAGGCAAGCCATGGCCTCCCTTCCTCCAGACCTACTCCTCTGGCGGCTTAAACCCAGTCACTCTATGGACTTCTGCCATCAAACAGCAGAAGTGAGAGAGGCAGACAAGAGGCCCATTTGCTTTAGCCCAGGCATAGGGTTTGGGGGTGAACATAGAATTTTGCTTTTTAATTTTTTTCCTTTATTATTTTCATCTCAGAAAAACGCTTGACTCTTCCCAAGCACTGACACATTTGACTGATACCCTTATTCCTAAAAGTAAAAACCCTCAAAATTGCCTTTGTGGAAAATGTAACAATTCTCTTTGAAGAATTAATTAATGTCAATCCAGGAATGTATGCAGTATAATTCAGCAGATTCTGGCCTGGTATGCAGTGCCAATATTTTGGCCACCTGATATGAAGAGTCAACTCATTGGAAAAGACCCTGATGCTGGGAAAGACTAAGGGCAGGAGTAGAAGGGGGCAACAGAGGATGAGAGGGTTGAATGGCATCACTGACTCAATGGACATGAGTTTGAGCAAACTCCGAGAGATAGGAAAGGACAGGGAAGCCTGGCGTGCTGCAGTTCTTGGGGTCGCAGAGTTGGACATGACCTAGCAACTGAACAAACAAAAACTGTGGCCTAGTCTAGCCAGATAGGAGGTCCGATGATGTACAGAAGGGAAGGCCCCGTTTTCTGGCTTTTAGGGGTTCTTGCCTCTAGATCCAAGCTATTTCTGGTAACTGAAAAGGAAGGAGGTTAGGGTATATCCTTATCTGCTCCCCCAGGACTGAGGGTGCACACATCAGAGCCCTCGCCTGCTCTGATTACAGCAAGAGTGTTTTGTGACCAGTTCCAAGCACGCGGTAATTGCGTTTGTTGGTTAGGCTCTGAATGGGAGTCTCACAGCCCTGACCTTTCACGTTCCTGATAGTGAAGGCTCATAACAGTGACAAATGCAGCAAGGAGCCACGAGTTACTCTTCGTTTCTTTTATAAGCAGGAACACGGTACAACAGTGGTTTGTGTAATAACTTTATCTCTTCTGAGATATTTAGGGAAACCTAGTTCTGCAACCTGAAGTAAAAGCCAGCATAAATTGTTTTTAATTTTTAAAGTAATTATTCATATTATCAAAATACAATTGCTTATACTTAAAAAAAGAATGAAGAAATACAGAAGGATACAAAGAAAAAGTCGGCCCCCCTGGTCCCCCACCATCCTCCGCCCCAGTGCCACCCCTTACGGGAGGGCATGGGAGAAGTTTAGGTATTCTTCCATAAACATTATGTTCATAGGCAGACACATATAGTCTAGCCTTTTCAAATAAGACATGAATGGAAGTAAGCCATTGTCCTTTGGTGAAAGAAACAATCTGATCAAGATGCTTTCCTCTCCAGTAGAAGTTCTCCATAGCCACACAATGAAGGGGAACAGATGTGCAAACCCAAATTTCTTGTAGGTAAAGCAAGTGTGTGGCCCCAATGGGAATAGGAAGAAGATGGCATGGTGGCCGAGGGACGATCCCTGCATAGCTTCCAATGCCAAGGTTCTCGTGCACCCCAACACCAGGCATAAGACAGGTTCTTCAAGCTGAAGGAAGGGATGGATGAACCTAGAGACCCCCGGGTCCCAGGCAACGTAGGGTTAATAGCCAGAGTGGGGGTGGGGCTGGGGTGAGGATTGGTCCCTGTCCAGGTCACCTACACCAGCCCCCTCCCACACTGCAGACCTGGGCCCCAGCACGGCCACCCCCAGGCTCTCCAGCTCGTTTCCGCTCTGCCTCAAGGCAGGGCTGACCCATGTGTCCCACAGGTTCACGCGGGTGGCAGCACAGGACTGCGAGGTGCTGGGCCAGCGCGTCCCCGCAGGAGCCGTGCTGGAGACGGCCGTGGGCGCCCTGCACTACGACCCCAAACACTGGCCGAACCCCGAGAACTTCGACCCCGAAAGGTGAGTACTGCCCCCTCTAAAGGGCTGGCGGGGGGAGTGAGTGTGAGGATTGGAGACAGCTGCCAGGAGACACAGATTTCATCAAGTACCCCCAAAGTCAAAAGCTGCGACAACCAGAGAGAAGTTTTTGAGGCATAATTTCTAAAGGAACTAAGCGTACCATTTTTGAAGAGATCAAAACCCAATCCAGAGGTTTAGCCATCTCCACAGCACTGCATGCAAGTAACAAGGCACTCTCAGATGGGTGCCCACTGTTTGTTCACACCGAGAAACAGGACACCTTTCAGAAACGTGTTAAGATGTAGCAGGATATCACTTCCTTTTTTAAAAAATGAATGCCTGTTCCAAAACAAGAGTATCAACAATTTCTTCAGAAATTCATGAAGCCCGGCTCTGCTAACATGGTAGACCTGAATGCCCCCTTCTGTCCCCGGCATGGATTTGGTCCATTGTCTAAATTTCATTTCTAGACTCCCAATTTAAAATGTCTGAGCAGGCATCCGCACTTCCTCCTCATGAGAGTGGATGCATGCTGCTTCCTGGTTGATCTGGCAAGTGGGGGGCTGGCCAGCTGGCAGCTGTGTTTCCACCGTTAGTAGCTGCATCTTCCTGTTAATGCAGCCCCGACTCTACAACCCTGGTCCCTGGGAAACCATGGGCAGTGGGACCCAGATAAGTAACACTGTGCTGCTCAGCAGCTCCTAGAATTACGGTAGAGATCCAGACATACAAACTGCAGCTGCAGGGTTTATAGCATCACCTTTGAAAACAAATGGCCTTGAAACAAAAAGGGCTTCCCTGGTGGCTCAGGCAGTAAAGAGTCCCGCCCGCAATGCGGGAGACCTGAGTTTGATCCCTGGGTCGGGAAGATCCCCTGGAGAAGGAAATGGCAATCCACTCCAGTATCCTTGTCTGGAGAATTCCATGGACGAAGGAGCCTGGTAGGCTACAGTCCATGGGGTCGCAAGGAGTCAGACACAACTGAGCGACTTCACTTGAAAACAAAAGTGCCTTAACAAGATGTTGAAAAGGTGGGCCAAGGGCTTCTTGGGCCCATGAGGTTCAGAGGCAGTAATAAGTGAGCTGGCTACTATTACAAAATAGTGGTTGTCACCAAGCGTTACTGTCACAGAACACATGTGGCAAATGTCATTTGGAGCTGAAGAAGAGCTTCCAGTGAATCAAATACTGCCACCCCCAGAGGTTCAAGTTTTGTTCTTGAACCAGAAAGGCAAATGTGGGCAGGGAGACAGCTCCCATCATGGCATCAAGAGACAAACTGGTAGGACACAGCTGTCAGAGGGGGCTGGTGCCCAGGGACTCTGCTTAGGAAGTGGATGCCAGAGGGTGACACTCTGGCTGCTGAAGAAACTGGAGCCATGGGTGAAGGGAGGGCTGTGGTTTCTTGGAGACTTTCACCCAAGGATTCTAGTGAGTCTGCAGGCACGTTAACCACACAGTGAATTCATAAGAAGAGGCAGAGAGGGCAAAGGGGACATTCCCGGTGATTCTTTGAATTCAACAGTGCTTGGAGGAATTCAACAGTGCTTGGAGGGCTTGGCAGCACGGGAGGAGGGGAGCCTGGACTGAAGCGTGTGGACGGGCGGCCACCTGCTCCGGAGCCTTGGGGACTGACGGGTCCAGCAGAAAACGATCCTGCAGACCCCGGGGGGCAGAGGGTGGAGGGTTGAGCCCCCACCTGCCTGGTAGGAGGAGCGTGAAGCCCTGTAAAGGGTGGCGGGGTTCCAAGCCCACCCTGACTGAACCGCCCTGCAGGTTCACGGCCGAGGCGCAGGAGCGACGGCGGCCCTACACGTACCTGCCATTTGGGGCGGGCCCCCGGAGCTGCCTTGGGGTGCGGCTGGGGCTCCTGGAGCTCAAGCTGACGCTGCTCCACGTCCTGCGCAAGTTCCGGTTCGAAGCCTGTCCCGAGACCCAGGTGAGCCCCGCACGCTGCTCTGGGCGCAGGGGTGCCCACTGCATCCCCACTTCCCATTCCAAGAGCCTTCCACCTGCACCTCCTGCCTGCTCAGGCCACTTCCCTTTCTGGAATTCCACCCCTCTCCCTTCCCCACCCCGTCTAATCCCACCCTCCAAATCCAAATTGGTGTTCCCTCAGACCCCAAAGTGGCCCGGAAAAGTCCTGCTCATAGGGCATCTCCCATTCCTACCCCACCCCAGGTGCCACTTCCTCCAGGAAGCCCTTCTTGACAACTTTGCCAGCCACAGCAGACTACTTTTTTTGAAGTCCTATTTCAAGTGTGCCTATACCTGCACTGTCTGGTGTTACAGCCACTAGCCACATGTGGCTATTTATGTTAGTAATAAATCAATACAATTAAAAATTCAGCTCCTCATTTGCATTAACCACACTTCAAGCACCCAGCACCCACTTTCACTAGTGGCTGCCACAGGGGATAGGACAAGTCTAGATCGTCTTGTTTCTTGAACCTGTAACTGGTCTTCCATCAGGACTCAAGACGTCGACTGGAAAGCCTGCCTGCCCCCAGCACTTAGGCCTGGTGGCACTTCTCTCCTTGGAAGTTCCATGGTAGCCACTGAATAGTCCTTTCACATGCACCTGTAGAGGATACCTTGCTTCTCAAGTAATTCTGTGGCTTTTCCTCCTCTTCTCCATCCCACCATCCATCTGCCCAAGTTGGACATAAGGAAAGCCTTCTGAATGGCAGCGGACTTTAAGCAGGGAGCCCTCCCCAAGCCCCTGAGAAAGGGAGAGGGGGCTACTCAGTTTCTGGCTGGGCCCCAGGGCGAGAGATGAGTAGATGAGGAAGGGCTGAGGTTTCATTCACCACTTGGCACTCTGTGCCCTTGGGCAGGTCGGGTGGCCTCTCTGAGCCTGTATTTTTTCATCTGCAGTGCTCTGCTCCCACCTTACAAGCAGGCTTGTTAGGGTAACTGGGGGACCTCTCCCCTGCGAGATTCCCTGGTAGCTCAGCTGGTAAAGAATCTACCTGCAATGGAGGAGACCTGGGTTTGATTCCTAGGTCAGGAAACTTCCCTGAGGAGGTACAGGCTACCCACTCTGGTATTTTGGGACCTCCCTGGCGGCTCAGTTGGTAAAGAATTCACCTGCAAGGTGCAAGACCTAGGTTCAATCCCTAGGTTGGGAAGATCCTCTGGAGAAAGGAATGGCTACCCACTCCAATATTCTGGCCTGGAGAACTCCATGGACACAGGAGCCTGGCAGGCTACAGTCCATGGGGTTGCAATGAGTCAGACACAACTGAGCAACTTTCACTTTCACTTTCCTCTGCGGGATGTTATTAACACAGGAAAGGGGTGAGTCCCTGTCCAACACCAGGCTCAAGACACAACTCTGCAGCCTCTCAGAGTCCCCCTGGGGAGGCCACTTTGCTCACTCTCAGCCCTGCCCTCCCTCAGCCCTCAGCCCAATCCCCACAACCTGCCTCAGGCCCATTCCCAGGGTACTTTCTTATCATTAGGATTAATTCTGACAGATACCTTAATTTCCTCTATTTTAGGTACCACTGCA